AACACGGAGACGAGGCACCTGCGTTCCAAACCGGAGACGGATTTCTCCTCAGTGGTTTCATGTCCTCCTGATTGGACTGATCCTTATCAGAAGCAGCCTCATTATCATATCAATCCCTATCGTGCTGGTGAATTTGTTTCAATAAATAAACCCATCTTATTTCGTTTTTGTTGTGTGTGTTTGAGCTGGGTGACCTAGAAGGCCAATAAAACAAAATGAAATGGAGAAAGGTGAAAGTCAGAGCCCTTTGCTCACTCCACAATGAATCAATCAGGTGATTTCTACATTTCTGGATTGTAATTTGATAATAAGCCTGAACATACTCAGAATTCACACTCCAAACTGGTCAGACCCATAAATCAGACCAGAGTGAGCCGCTTATGGAATGTTAAATAACGCCGCCATCAGGCTTTCCCGTGAGCCTGACTTTTTTTAGATTTTTTCTCTGCGTCTGTGGGCAGACGAAGAAGACAGCGTGCTGTTTGCTGTGTTTCATGGCTCCACGGTGCAGAGCAGGCCATATATCTCCAGCGTATTATCAGGATGACTCCTGCTGGCCACCCTGTCACAGGAGAGTGCTTGATATAAACAAGAGATTGCCGCGACACCCAGTAATCAATATTAGGATGGTTTCAGTACCAAACATCATTTGTCTCTGCGAGCATTTCTTTGACCAAACGAAGCATTAATTCAAATCATAAATCTGAGCTGATTTAAATCCGAGGAGAGTGAGGCAGAGAGACGGGGCCCCTGTCTGACTGCCTGCCCCTAATGATTTATTTTCTACATTTCTGCGAGCGAGAGATTTGTCCATAGCCACTGACAGGTCACCTTCAAACGCCAGTGGCAGACTGTTCATCACCATGCAGACGAGCATCTCATCGCTGCGAGTAAATATTAAAGAAAAAGAATCCAATTGATTGTGGATGGGGCCGAGAGGCGTCTCCGCCATATATTTCACTCAGAGAGCTAATGCTGCAGCCCGGCTCAGAACTGCTGCCCCCTTTGCCAAAATTATGACTCTTCCGGGAGCCCGCGTGACTGGCCGCGGACTCAAGGTTACGATTTAAATTGTAAAAAGATAAAACAGCTTCTTATTAGCTCCATTGCCACAGCCTTGCTGTTGCTGCTCGCATTTATCTTTATTTCTGTGACCTCGCAGGCTCGTATTCTCTCTTTTTTATTTTAATTTGTTTTTATTTTACACACTCCATTCTCTCAGAGCGAGGGCCTCACGCTTTATGCATTCTGCGTTGTTAAATCCGCTTTGAAACACATCCTGTTTCCATCTCCAGCCTCCACGCGTCATCGCAGAAATGCATTCACGAGTCGAGCCGTTTATCAATGTAAGTGAATAAAAACCTCAATTTAGCAAACCAAAGCTACATCTGGGTTTTAATTCTGAAGGGGCCTCGTGCTTCGGCACTACATTATCCTTCTCTTTCATTCACTAAGTGCTTGTGTGTGATATTACAGAAATCCTTCTGCTTTTTAGTGCTAATAATTAATTGAAATGGCACATAGTGAAACAAGCAGCGATTCAATTAGATCTTGTTAAAAAGCTGATAGCGTTGGTAAACTGTGCTCACAGCTTCACGCAGCAATTAAGTCCTTTTTTCCTCTTTTTCTACATAAAACACTTAAGAGAATAAAAACAAGATCAAGTTTAACATTTTCTATTCAAACAAATGCGGCTAAATTGTTCGTTTGCTATGTTTCAAACAGCAAGAAAACAGCGGTGCGCTGGATAAATCATGCAAATCTTTGGTTTTAGGTTCAGCTTTATGTGTAAGACCTCTCAGCCGTTTTGGGATTTCAGCTGAAAGCTGACAGGAAGTTGGATAATTGTTAAAGAAAAGGAAACCGGTTGGAAAATATAGAGGCTTGTTTCTAAATAGTTTGTTTCTGAATGAATTTATCAGTAAATGAAACTCATTTTTAGCCAATGTGGAATAAAATATCCGTTCCTTTTCGCTTTTCCCTGTGATTGGAAGCAAAAAACAAGGAAATAAAGGAGGGAAATGAAACAGGAGCTTTCATCACACTGTGTGGTTGAAATAATTAGTCAATAAAAACAAGTCAATGAAAGTTCGCTGAAGTTGTAACCTTGCGCTGCAAGATGAATTCTCACGAGATTTGGAGTTTTCCAAACTCAGGAGAATCCATCTTGTTCCGCTCCAGTTCAAAGCGTCTGTCCTCCAGCCGAAAAAAAGGCCGATCCAGTGGTGTGTCAGCCCTGTGCTGAAGGGCGGGAGTTAGTTTTGACGATTGTATCGTGGAGAGCACGCTTAGCCTGGCGAGTGACCAAGGCGAGTGACCAAGGCGAGTGACTTCTGTGGTAAACCTGACTTCTGTTGTAATCCTGCCCTTTATGTGCATATTCTTCTCTCAAAACTGCCAGAAATCACCCAAAGACATGGCTATTGCTGCATGAGTGAATGAATGAAGCTTGAGCGAGTTGTTGTCGTTTATCAGACGCACATGGTATACGTGATCTGAGTTGTCACTGTGATTGGCTAAAGACAAAACACGTAGCCAGTGCCAACCGGGCGCTGCACCTCCTCCAATCAGCTTAAAGTATTCTAGCAGAGAGCCCTCCCTCTTTGAGGCAGTTTCTGCAGCAGCGATTCCAGATCAGAATGTGTAGACTCGACACGGGGCGGGGCTGCACTTAGAGATCTGCCAGGTTACCGAAGATGTGGATCACAGCAAATTCTACTTTATTTGAAACAGCATTTTTTAAATGAAATTGTGGACACTTTAAAGTTTGTTTCTATGTAAAAGAAATCATCACAGGTAGTTGTTTTGGATAAATTGTTCTCTAAGATTGATACACTAACGGCTAGTGCGAGTGTAGCCAAGTCTAACGTACGCTTCGGCTGAATTAAATTTATCCAATATCTGGAAGTTCACTGTGATGACTTTTACAGCTTTGCTACAAGTGTTGGAGAAAAGCGGCAGAAAAAGGTGCCTCATTAGACATATCTGGAGTATTTTAACACGGATGTTTGGATGCGATTAGCCTGAAATGTAAAACCTTTTTCAAATGGACGTCGTGGTTTTTTAAAGTGTTTGTCCGATGAAGGTATTGCCAAATCATTGCAAATAAATTTCCAGACTTTAAATGTGCAAATTAATCTAGAGCATTTTCTACGATGGCAGACAAACTCTTGCAGATTTTGACCACCTGGATTCTCCAGGACTACATAACGATATCTATGCCTGTCTGTAACCAAACAAGTCCACTTAAAGCTGCTATAATAAACCTGCAAACAAGCTAGATTTTGAACACAAACACAATAACGAAACATTCACCTCTTCCCTCAGGAAGCTTCCCTGAGACGATTCTGCTGGAACCGGAAACCTGCGATGTCGGACAAAACAAGATAGCGCTAAACACCAGTCGCCGTTTTCTATGATCAAACGTCTTTTGTTGTCCGTGACTTCAAATGGTGTTAATCCTTTTGGGACTCGAGTTGAAGGTACTTTTGGTCCAAAACGTGTCATTGATGTAAGTCTTTGACTAATGTGAGTTAAAGGGATTTTACGGACTTTTGAATTTTTATGCTCGCGATTGCCCCCTCAGGCCAAAAGCGTAATGGCAGCTTCAATAGTAGGCTCGTGCACGAGGCGCGCATGCTGTACGTGCACACTCCTTAACGAAAATTACAGCTGAGACAGTCCTGTGTGTGTGTGTGTGTGTGTGTGTGTGTGTGTGTGTGTGTGTGTGTGTGTGTGTGTGTGTGTGTGTGTGTGTGTGTGTGTGTGTGTGTGTGTGTGTGTGTGTGTGTGTGTGTGTGTGTGTGTGTGTGTGTGTGGTCCGGAGGACAGAGGACAGGAGAACGTGCAGCTAATCAATTAAATAATTTGGTTCTGTACCTTTCTCTTCAGCACAGCTGACAAAGGTTTATGGTGGGTCAGTCCTCCTGCACGCTCAGATCATTCCCTTCCTTTGCTTGAAAATTTGTTCCAAAATGAAAGTTGAAGCACATCTTTTTTATCTGTGAATTCAATGCCTTTCGGCGAGTCTCAAATAAAAATTTGGGCATCTTACAGTAAAAAAATATACCATTAATGTAAAAAAAAAAAACTCTAAATAAACTATATTCACATCCAGAATCAAACCCAGGTCTCCCTGCACGAGAGTCCGACAACTTACTAGGTGAGCTAAAGCACCAGAGACATTGTTTGTATCTGTAGCTTTTATATCCTTGATGACAACAACGTTCAAAGAATGGTTCGGAGCGAAAATGGCTATTTTGTTGCTAATTTGCAGAAAATATCTTGAAGAAAGTAACTAAGGGTCCTCAAAAATGTAGCTAGGTTCGTCACTAGGCGTTAGGAACAGCGACAAAGTCGCTGAGTTTGCACTACCTCTCTCTCTGCTGCTGAAACTACGGATAGCAAATGCTACGGGCTATGCCTGAGCGTGAACGCGCATGAAGCAGCCTGCTCGACCCGAGCAGCTCTCTTTTTCTGTGATTTTACAGAAAAACAGGCAATCACAGTAAAAATGCCAGGGCTCATTCTACAGGACCAGCGTGCGGCTGTCAAACTTCCATAATGCCCCTTTGAGAAGGAAAGAGATTAAACAGAAAACTTTAGTCGAATAACATTTTTGATAATTCCTACTTTATTTTTGTTTTCATTTTTTTTAATCTCCACAATATATTTATGTCTATACTATGTTAGAACGTTTTAAAGAATCAAGAATCATCATTATTTAAAAGTTAATTTGTTATAGAAGCTTTAAATGCATGTTTAGAGGGAAGCTAAAGTCGATGTAGGATTGGTGAAATAAAGCTGCATACATTAATGAAGATTTTTAAAACAATACCAAAACTCTTTGTTCTTGGCTGTAATTAGACTGGCCGTTAGCTTCTCAATCATGTCAAACTTGACTGTTTTTCTGCTAGCTGAGGCCTTACAGGAAGCTATCTACAATGGCAAAGATATTAATTATTAAGATATGTGTGTGCGTGCGTGTGTTTGTCAGCTACCGACGCTGGAGCTGAGGTCTCCGTTCTCTCCGTCGCCTCCGTGGTGGTTGGCGTTGCCGTGGTAGCCGCTCATCGCCTCCAGCTTGATCTTCTTGACCTTCATGGCCTCGGCGATGGCTGCGTTGGCAGCTGCCGCCGCGGCTGCTGTCAAGCCTGGTGAGAGAAGGCAGAGGAGACACAGCGCTTACCGACTGCTACACGTCTGCTGAGACTGAGCCACAGCACCTCTGAGAGTCCTGCCTCGGCGAAAACAAGAAAACAAATAAAAAAGGGCTTTAATAACAACAAGCACTGAATAACTTTTTATACTTAGGCGAACGAGCTCCTGAGAAGAGATCAGGATTTAGTTTTTCATCTTCTGACAGGGGATATCTTCACAGCAGGTTATCATGCTGATGAGTTGGATCTGTGTGTGTGTGTGTGGCAGCGTATGATTTTTATGAATGTTCCACAGACTCCAGCAGTCCTCGCCCCCCCTCTTATTGATGTATTTGCTGCTTGATGGGAACAGATGCAGTCTGGATAAAAGTGCACGATGCAAGCATTCTGTATGTACAACTTGTAAAGCACAGTGGATCTGTGTATATCAAAGTGGCTTTGTGATCCGGTGTGACGCGGGAAGAAAAAAGTGAAAAAGGATCAACAAATCCTGCCAGCGAACGTTGTTGTATTACACTTACTTCTGACTCACTTAGCCAGGGCTGTTGCTAGCTATTTTGGTGCCCTATGCACAAAGGCTTTGTGGTGCCCCCCCCCCCCCCCCCCCCCCACACACACACACACATATACAGAAAAAACAACACAACGATACAGTATGTGTGAGCGCTTTGCCTTAAATTCTCTTACATTCTCTTGTATGCACAAACTGCTTATTATTTTCCAAACAGTAGGATTGATATTTAGTGTGCGTGTGTGTGTGTGTGTGTGTGTGTGTGTGTGGGGGGGGGGGTGTCATTTTGCCTTGGCCCCCAAAATGTCTTGAAACGGCCCTGGGTGTGTGACTGAGTTTTGAAGGTGATCTGAATTGTATCAGATGTATAAATATTACATGTGTGTAACTTATTGTTTTATACAGGTAAAAACGTGTAGTGGAGATAAATCTACCTACATTTTACGTTTCAACACTTTGTTTTGTTTTCTTGTTTTTATTTAACTATTTTCCTGTCCTGTCTGTCTCTCATCTTCCTGCATCTCCTCTAAACCCTCCAGAAAACCTGCTGCCTGGATTCTTACTTTTTCACCTCATCAGTTACTTTTGAGCAGATCAAAGGGATCTCCTGACCGCAAAGCGGAGAGCGTGTTTCAATGCTGCGCCAGTGAGGTGAAATCACCGCAGTGCAGGTGATGAGCTCCGCAGCAGAGCACTTCAGGCACAAATAAGACAGAAAGTAGAGAACATGAGCGGACATGAACGATCGTGTGTTAATTTTGATTGCGCCACTTTGAGAATGGACCGTGCGCTGGAAGCAGCTGCCTAGAGCACTGCGCAACAACGCAGCGCTGTGTCGCTGTCTGTGCTCTCCGCTCCAAAGAGTCCATAAATGATGTCATATAGTTAGAAATCTTTTTTCCGGCTCCCCTGGATGTGTAGGATATCCAGCTCCCCCATAATTCGATCCCTGCTCCTGGATGAAAAGCCGGACATTTTCAGCAATACAAGAACCAGTCCGGACGTCCCGGACAGAGAGTGAAAAGTGGACACGGTCCATCTCCTTTCCTTTTTGTATTGTTTTCTCTCTGTAAACATGCTGTTAACTTGCTTTGCACATCTTCTAATTGAAATCTGTCTTTATCATATATATACATATATTATTTTTTTCATAAGCTTGCGTTTGGTTCCCCTTCCCTGGCGTGGTGCCCTACGCGCTGTGCGTGGTGTGCGTGTGCGGAGCGCCGGCGCTGCACTCAGCTGACCTAATAAACCCAAAAAGCTTCAGGTTTGATCAAATTACTCAATGAAAATGAGTCTTGTTGACTAAAAAGTCATATTTAAAACATTTATTTTGGAGAGTTATGGATGAGATTGTATAAAATGTATTGAAAGTAAATCGCACGTGCTTGGGTGGGGTTTCTTTTTCACGAAAATGTTTTCATACACCAAAAGAATGTCTGGTTTAAAATAAAAAAACAACAAATGAAGCACTAAAATTAGAAATGGACTGCTGTGGGCTTTTATTAGGCTAATACCAGTGGCGATTTTTGGAAATCAAGGCCAACTACTTGGTTTTGTCTGATTTATACGTTTTTTTAATCAAACAAAAGAAAAAACAACCACTCAGGTGCACTTGTACACTTGTGCAACAATATATCTTAACACACTTGACTTTGATTTGCAAGAAAGGTCAATAAGAAAAGTAGTACTCGAGCATTTCTGTGAGCAGAAGCCAGTTCTTCTTGTTTTATTGCATCTTTCCCGACACATTAAAGCTATTATTATTCATTGTTCCGGGTGCGGTTCACTTGAACATTTCTGACAAAGTGCCAACCGGCTTAGAGACTTTAACACGCATCTCCTCGAGCTGCGGATGTTTTCTTAAGTGGACTAAATGAATATTGACACCACATTTTAAATAATCATTCACATTTGAATAGCAAGTTCCAACTTGGCCGTCCACATCAATCATAATGAACCCAAGTTGATTGATATACAGTAGTAAGTCTGATATTACAGACATACGTATGCTGGGCACACTGCAGAGATCGTAAAGCACTGGTTTGTCATTGTGGTAGTTCCGGGGTCCCAGTGTGTCGAACGTGACCAAAATCTTTATTCATGAGGCTGCTCTCAAGCAGCAGGACAGATAAGGCCCTGGTGCGTGTGTGTGTGTGTGTGTGTGTGTGTGTGTGTGTGTGTGTGTGTGTGTGTCTCAGGACAGTCTTCTCGCCAAAGCTCAAAATCAAAGATGCACCGTGAGAATAAGACGCTGCATGCACCTATTATGGTTATGACTCACAATGGAGGCTATCACCTGACCCCTCTTTTTATTTCTTTATTTATTTTACAGGAGCTGTTTGTACTTGTTATGCAGGTTTGCCTTACGCAGAACAAAGCAGCGTCGGCGGTTATCACCGCTAAGCTGTCACGTCTCGGTGATGGGAGCTCAAAGCAGCTATTAGCCGCGCGTTTGAGGAGAGACACAAGTACAAGGAGAGGTGGAAATCAAACACTCTAATAGATGCACGCGAGCCCACGCGGACACAAACATGCACACCAGAGCCCGGACAGCCTCCCCCCCCACTCTCTCTCTCCTCCCCAGCTGATAGGCAGATGGTGAGAGTCACTCGGAGCCGCTGACATGGAGGTGCATATAATTTAAAGCCTTGTTTGCATCTTAAAATACATCAGTACCATATTGACGTACAGTATACATCATGTCAGCGAGGGGCCTCTCGTTTGCAACGGGCCCTGGCTGCTGTTCCATATGCATAAGCTGAGCAGGACGCAAATAGGAAGAAAAAGAGCCGCTGCCTCATAAGAAGGTGATACTTCTTCACATAATGAATGTGGCCTCTGCCCAGTCTGAAGGTCAGCCTTCATTTGTGTATAATGGGCAAGAGTCAACTGTTTTCCAAATGAGACGTATGCAGAGCAGACTGCCGAGTAAATATTGAAATCACCTCTGGGCTGTTTGTGTGATAAATCCCCCCCCCCCCCCCCCCCCCCGCACACACACACACACACACACACACACACACACACACACACACAAATCAGGTCCCGCTCAAAGGGAGTGCCGCAGTGGAGCTCTCTGATGCTCTGGAACTTGTGAGAAGGACGTGGTTTATGGCACTGCAGCCTAAACTTCAGCAGCAATAAAACAAAGAAATAAAAATCATCCACGTAGGAGAAGGTTTGGATCTAAAATCGGCACGTAAAGGTTTTAGACTGTTGTGGAATTATCACTTTCCTGCTGTTTCTGATTCCAGCTGTTACCTTGAGTGACACAGTCCAGGTATGGAAACATTTCTGAAAGCTGTGTCGTCTAGGCAGATCAGTCGTCTTACCCACCTAACGCACACCGCAGTAGAGACGCTGATGCCCATCACTGGAAGTCTAAACACAACCGGTCCCACTCAGGCTCATCTGCATTCATTACTATGCAAACAAAACAATCCGGCGCCATATATTCTTTCAAAGTCACCTTTAGATTCAGATACTTTTCTTTTTTCTGATATTGAAATCTTGCAAAACAAACATCGTGTGGAGGGTCACACCGGCGAGTGAAACAGAAAAAAGGGGAGCATTTCGGCAAATAAGAGAATGGCACGGTGCTGTCACATGGGGAGCAAAACAGCAAATAACAGAGACAAGGTCTGATGGTAGCCCTTGGAGCAGCTGTCATATTAAATAATAATGAAGGATCTATTAATATGCAAAGGAAGCAGCAGCCGACTGGCTTAACGCTGTCATGCCTCTGCATATTGTCAGGATCTTCATCATTAATTAACATGCTAGCTGCCCCATACCTGTGCCAATGTCAGAACATTCTTACAACAAACACCCCAATGCCTGTGCCCTCCGCAACTATAATTAAATTAAAATCAGATTAAGTTCACGTCAGAACACATGCAAAAAAAAAAGACTTTTACTGCTTATTCTGAAACAGATTTAAAGAGCCTGTTAATCTGTTGTGTTTCTGTTCTGTTTGGAACAATAAAAATGACGCACCAGGACAGACAGAATAAATAGAAAAGAGGCGCAACATGTCAACGCTTCATTTTACACGTGGACCGGTGGCGGCGCAGCGATGACAAAGTAGAAGGACGGAGGGGGGACGCCGCTCTTACGTACACTAAACCACTTGAACTGTGCCATCCACATCATGACAAATTTAGTATCAATTACAAGGTGAGCTAACCTTATGACAAGCAGCGGACTGAGAGGGGGCGGGGCACAACGAAAGCTAAATTACCTGCTGCACCGGATCTACTTTAAATCTGACACAAGTGGCAGTGGATTATGATTCATTCAGAAGCACAGAGTGGCATACTAATTGCACGCTGGTGGAGGGTAAATATTAGTACGTTTTAGCTCTGCAGAACAACCAGACGGCATCATGGGTAATGTCCAGGACGCTCCGATGGAAGAAGTAGGTGACATTCATTCGTCTAATGGTAAATGCAGTGCTGTTGCTTTATTCAAAAGCCATATCCAGGACATAAATGAATTACTGAAGCTGCTGCTTAAGTAGTGGTCAGAGTGTGAGCGGAGCACACACACCCCCCCCCCCCCCCCGCACCCCCCCACTCTACTCTAAAGGAGATGTCATCTCAGTGTGGTGTCAGTCCACAGCAAATAATCCGATTTGGGGGCCAATCTGCCTGTAATGCATCAGCAACTGGAAATGCTCCAGCGTCCACCCCCCCCACCCCCACCCCCCCACCCCACCCCAACACACACACACACACACAGAGTCCACCCTGAGGGGCAAGCATCAAACGCTCGTGTGCTTTCAGAAGCATATGAGGGTACTTCCGTAAGTGAAAAACTAGACATCTCAAGTCGTTGGTGTTTTAAATGAAGCTGGGTGTCAAGGGCAGCGAGACATATGTTAACAATATGTCTCACATCCACTCTCTGGTCCTGTTGAGTGCCGAGGAGAGCTCCTCACACTGAGTTTCATATAAACACACATGTTAATCTGATAGGATTTCAACGTGCATCTAAAAGTTCAATGGTTTTACTTTATAAAAAGATGAAAATAAAGGAATTGATCTGTGAAAAATCTCTATACTAAATCACAAATATAAACGTAAAACACACTATTTGTGTTATCTTTGTTTTTTCTGAACACCAACATAGTGTTCCTTCATGTCACATGTCTCAAATGTCTCTCAGCTCTGAAGAAATTGTATAAAGTAAGATTGTTTTTATTATTTTTTATTACAGTGGAGGGTTTGCTAATCACAAATGCACCCACAGATGTTAAAGTTTCATAGAGGTTGATTACTGATTAAGCCCAATCAATGAAATTCTGGTACATGTGAGTTTTTCTGAGCACTTTATGCAAAATGTATTATTGAACTTTTATTTAGTTATAAATCCATAAATCAGATGCCATGATCATTTAGGCGTAATTTCGATAGAATGTTAGCCAGTAGCTAGCACCACAGCTAATTTCTGCTGGAAATGACCAAATAATTCCAAATTATGTGAACTTTCTGAACTTAATTGAATTGATCTTTCCAGTCACACCTGATATGTATTTCTCCATGTTGAGGTTGTTCAAACAGCTATTTACAACAAGAGAAGTAATTCCACTTATCTTTTTCACACACCTCAAAAGATCTGAATTATCCATTTAAAGACATAATCTATAAAAACAATGCATAATCTATAAAAACGCTGCACACCTGTGAAAAGACATGTTAGTTTAACCATTTAAGACAGTTTCTCGCTGTGTTTTCTTTTAATCACCAGTCAAAACATTTGGACATGACAGGAAGATCAATTAGTCGCCTACTTAGTTGCTAACTTACTATGTGTGGTCAATTACATTTAATTACCAATCCGTCACAATCTCTACCTTCTTTGGCGTTTAATGTTTAACGCTTTCATCTAAGGAAGAAATGGCTTCATAAATGGAAAAGTGCTACAGAAATTCAGAGAGCTTAGGGAAGTTATGAAGAAGACCCCAAAAACTCAATTACTTTATCTGTGTCCACTGAATACCCCGACTAAATGTCAAGATCACAGAGTCCCTTTGGACTTAAAGGGGGGGGGGGGGGGGGGGGGGGGGGTGATATCAAACAGCCTTTCTGTTGCTTCATGTTCTTCTAAATAACACGTCTTCTCATCATTGTCCTTCTTCTGTTTTCACTTCGGCCTTCAAGTTTTCCTTTCACAGATGAGTGCAGATAGCCAGCGACCTCACCCTGCTCCCAGAGTTCAAAGCACGAGCTGGGCTGTATTAAAACACGTGGACTGACCTGGGTTTAATATTGTTCTCATAGTTGCCGCTTTGTTGCCTGAGAAAATGAAAAAATAATACAAAACAATGTCCATTTTGTTTTCATAGAGATATAATTAAAAGGTGCCTGTGAAGGTCTGTTAAATTTGTTACAGGTTTTTTTTTTTTTTTAAATAAAGACGTCTGCCCTGGTGGATTAGTTCATTTTAAGAGGTGAGACCAAGTCACTGTTTTTTAAGTCTCTAGTCTTTTGACTCAAGCCTCCTCGTTAAGTCAAGTCCCAAGGCATGCATGTTCCAAATAAAAGCCTGTGACGCACCAGGCTAAATTCCATTCCTGGTTTTGCAAGTCGCAGGCTCATTCAAGTTGTGTGACACACAAGTCCCAAGACAAGTCCCATTACATGCAAGTAACATTTCAAACCAAGTCTCAAAACATGCAAGTCCTAAATCAAACCTGGTCCAAAACTTATAAATATCGTGTTAAGTCAAGTCCCAGGTCAAGCCTAGTCCCAAAATCGTCCCCCCAAACAACGCAAATCTTGAGTAAAGCCAAGTCACACAAAAATCAAGTCTAAAGTCAAGTCCCAAAGCATCCATCCATCCATTTATGTCAGCGTATCTGGGGATGGGTCGCAGAGGCAGTGGCCTAAGCAGAGGGACCCAGACCTCTCCCAAGTCCCTCGGGCCAGTTCCTCAGGGGAATACTAAGGCATTCCCTGGCCAGCCAAGAGACATACTCTTTCCATTGTGTCCTCGGTCTTCTTTTAGGTCTCCTCCCAGTTGGACGTGCCCGGAAAACCTCACCAGGGAGGCATCCCATTTAGATGCCTGAGCCACCTCAGTTGGCTCCTCTCAATGTGGAGGAGCAGCGGATCTACTCCATGTCCCTCCCGGATGACCAAGGTTCTCACCCTATCTCTAAGGGAGAGCCCAGTTACCCTGCGGAGAAAACTCATTTCAGCCACTTGTATCTGATCTCATTCTTTTAGTCCCTACCCAAAGCTTGAGCTGGAGCCTGGTCTGCCTTGTAAGCAGTAAGTCCGACTCGTTTCTGGTGAGAGTTGGACTCTTCCAAGGCTGCCCTTTGTCACCGATTCTGTCCCAGAACATAAAAGTCCCAATTCAAGCCTGGTTCCGAAAGCATGAAAATACCATGCCAACCCAAGTCCCAAAACATGCAGATCCCAGGTCCTGAAAAATGCAAGTCACAATGCAAGTCAAATCATAACTCTCAAGATCTAGAAAAGTCATTTGTACAAATTTGTAAAACCAAAACATCAATTAAATGTTTCAGTATGATTTTTTTTCTTGAGTAGTGTATCAAGTATTTTTAGGTCAAGTCACCAAAAACTCACTAGTATGAAAAGTATGAAATTAAGAATGAAGTTCAGTTCAAAGCCAACAAAATTGTGACTCGAGTCTGAGTCAAGTTAAAACTGTGTGAATCATGTCCAAAACTTTGGTTTATGCAGCTTTGTGCATTCTAAGAGCTGCTACAGACTGCACAAAATCAATAATAACATGTCAAGAAAGACAGCAAAATATGCAAATCTGAGCACTTAAAGTCCCCAACATCAAAGCACCCACAATGAAAACCAGCCACATATACAACAAAAGCATTAGTTGCAATAAGACATGGCCCAGGGCTAAGTTAAGGCACAAACGCTTGTTGTTGATTCTTCTGGCGATAAGCTTGCTTTAGCATCACCACCGCCTATGTACATATACCAGCGGAGTGGATTTAATCGCACTAATTAGAATGCACTCAAGGCAAAATGCAACATCTACTGGAATAATCTGAGAGAAAAGATCTCTCCAGTCCAATTTATTCTCCCCCTCTTTGTTTCCGGAGGGGGGGAGTTGGTGGTTGAGCAGAGGATCTGTTTTTGGTAAACGAGCGAGCGGCTGGTGTCTGGTGGTTGGGTGCATGTGTCACTTCGGACTGGTTGCCATTTCGAGGACAAGCTGCGGGGAGGCCATTCGTAGGGAGGCCGTGTGTGTGTGTGTGTGTGTGTGTGTGTGTGTGTGTGTGTGTGTGTGTGTGTGTGTGTGTGTGTGTGTGTGTGTGTGTGTGTGTGTGTGTGTGTGTGTGTGTGTGTGAAAAAGAAAATAAAAGAGGGAAGACAGTGGAATCAGAGTCTTTGCAAATGCATTACCACAACACAAGCCATACCTGTGGGAGGGATCATGCCAGGGGACATGAGTCCAGGGACCGAGTGGGGCATGATGTGGGGGTTCTCGGGCGATGTCACGCTCTGGGTTCTCTTCGGTGGCCGGCCGGGTCTGGAGCTGCAGGAGTGGGCAAAGGAAGAGGAAGAAAAGGGTTGAGAGATGGGGAGACTGCTAGAAGGAGGGGGGTGTGGGCAGCGGTGTGGCGGTGGGGGAGTGTTAACATTTGGAGCTCTCCAGAAAGCAATTCCATTCCAAAGAGCTAACATGTACTGTAAATAAATTTCTTTTCAAGGACAGTTGCTTTCTGCAGCTCAACATAATAGACTTCCATAACTAATTAGATTACACGGTGAATTCATTTCCTTTATTGAAGATCAGCCACTTTTTGATGCATAATTCATAACCTGCACCTCGTTACCTGCTCCTCCGTATTAATATCCCCACACTGTTTGAATTGCCTCGTTTGCATATGCTAAAATCCAGCACTCGGCCCTCGGCCTGGAAATTACATGTTAACTTGTTATAATTATTGCAGTCAGGCCACTATTGATTTATGAGACTTTTAAAAACCAAATATGTGTAGTTCTGGTAATGAATGATATTTTAAGGTTCTTCAGGAAATTAAAAGGCAATGGCTGCCTTAGGAAATGTTCTGCTTGCTTGATTTAATGCGTGCCTTAGCTGGAAGGTGGTGTGACAGAGTGATTCAGACCTGTTGGACGGTTCTGATGGGGGAGTTTTATTACACCAAACGAGGGGCACAGATCCAGCCGTGATAAATGACTGTGCCACCTCACTGTGGAGGAGAAAAGGCCTTCAAAGCAGATACACCCTTGACTCTCTACACATCTAACTCATTCACTTATTAATATAGCTTTGAGTTTCAATCAATACCTACTTTGCTGGCTTATAGTTACAAAAGAAAAGCCTATAGGGTGAAAAAGAAAAACACAATGAGTGTGTAATGGTCCCAGATTCTGGAGAGGCATATTCTTCATGAAGCAGGAGCTGCTTGTCTCAGCTGAAGATGAATTATGGTGACTTGACAAAGGTGACACATTGGCTTCATACATTATTTCACACAGTAGTCCATTTCAAGCTAAACTAGGATACAAAATTCCCTTTAAGGATGAGTTGAATCCACCTTTAAAGGGCAACGTAACTTCTACCGCTTGTTGAAAACATTAAAACTGGAAAAATTAGAACAAATTGAACATTTTTGTGAGTTCCGTTAATAGGTGCAGTGGCGCACATAGAGGCTACCCTACAGCTTACTATGGCTGTGGTCCCATCTTACTGTAAAGTCCCAGCAGTTGTCACACACACTGGTGTGTAGGGACATTTGTTCGTATTTAACCCAATCCTGTGGGAGCGGTGAGCTGCAGACATGACCGCGTTCGGGAACTATTTTGTGGTTTAACCCTCCCAATAAACCTCTTGATGCTGAGTATCAAGCGAGGAGGCATCGGGTCCCATTTTCGAAGTCGTTGGTATGACCCGATTGTGGATTTGAACCCATGATCTCTCGGTGGACACTCATAACACTATGATACTGAGCTGGTAAACATGTAATTTTCTCTGATAATGGAGTGCAAATACACCCTGACAGTAAATTTCAAAGAAAAGTTCAAATTTAAGAAACACTGAAACAAAGATTTTCAAACACTTCACCAAACCTGCTCAAAAAAATGTAATGACCTCTGTTCCCCATCATTTAGCACCACCTTCTCCCTCAAAGACATAAAAACAGCATCAAACTTCTGTTCACACCACTTTAGTGGGACTGTGTGGAGCCCTTATGTTAGGTAAATCTGGTCTTAATCAAGCAAAGTCACATTTAGACAGCCATCAAGATGGCCTGTCAATAAATCAATCACTTTTTTTTCCCCCCAAACCAGAGACACTCACAGTTCAAACTCCAAAAATGTAATTTCTTAAAGGTGCATAATGTAAGAATTAAGTAAAAATGACATCCTGTGGTCAAATTTGGCTTCTGCAGCTCTTTTTTTTCTAAATACACATGTGACTTTCTCACACCTGTTTCATGAGTTTGGCGTTGCCAGTTATGGTTCAACACCAGCACAGTACGTTGATAAGTAGATAAATACATGTCAATGTAAAACGTATCACATTGTTGGGAATTGTAAAGAAGTTTGAGTGATTTTTAAAGGCACACTTGGCAGTTTTGGCTTGCTTTTAGCACCCCCTAGTGACCATTTATTAGAATCAAAAGCAAAGCTTGTCTCCTCTATGTGCGTTTTTCTTTACCTTAACCTAACTGCTGAAATGTCTCCTCAGCCTTCATTAGTGTCTACAGGAGTGATGATTCATCACTAATTAAACAAATTAGCTGTGTTCATGATCTAAAACACGTGTCAGACTAGAGGCCTGCAAGAGCTTAAAGTGTCTTAAGATAGGTCTATGTTGCTTCAAAGCGTACATTGACTATATACTACATTTCCCACAATGCATGGCGATTGTGTTACCAGTGCAGTGACAGTATCACACGACTAGGTTGCAGTGTGTCCACAAATGACCCTAAAATGTCCAGGAAGAGATAGAGTGATGCAGATCAAAGGGTATCTCAAGAAAGGTGGGAAGGTGAATTTGTGTTTATGATTCATGGAGAAAAAGCGGTATGTCATTAGCGTCCATGCTACTAGTTTCTGCAGCGTTCCCCTCCTCTGTCTCGGACAAACTGAAAACACTCCTCTTATTCAGCGCAGAGTTTACAAAGCAATTTGCTGACTTTGAAGCCCAGAAATTGAGATTTCAACCGCTCAGTAATCTGTTCACTGCCAACAGAGAACGCTCACCAACCAACCTCCAGACAGAGCTGATTCAACTCCAGTGCAGCAACATGCTCAAGTCATGACTGCTGCAGGTTTTACTGTCCTCCCCGACACACTGATCCAACTGTGTGGTCAAACTGCTCAGACTATCTCTATGTTCAGCACCAAAGACCTATGTGAGGAACTGTTGTCTATGAAGAAGATGAACAAAACAACACAGGAGTCTCATTGCTGAACTCCTTCAACTCAGAGATGCAGGTGTTTCTGGATTGAACAGGTGAGCATCAGAGTAATGCATAGTGGAGCAAACTGAGCTTGAAATATTTTGGTTTTATGCACTAGTGAGATATTGCATTTTCATTTAAGACAACAAGTTGTATTTAGTTTGTTGTTGGCCAGTGAAAAAAAAATTAACCTCATTTAGCAGTAACTGGAAAGATTACAGATTGATGAACTGAATAGAAATAGAATAGTAGTAGTAGAGTGTTCACCCTGGGACTGGGAGATGGAGGTTCAAATCCTGGTCGGGTCATCCCAAAGACTTTAAAAATGGGACTCAATGCCTCCCTGCTTGACTCTCAGCTTTAAAGGGTTGGATTGGGGGGTTAAACCACCAAATAGTTCTTGAGCGCAGCCCCAGCTGCAGCTCACCACTCCCCATGGGGATGGGTCGAATGCAGAGATGAATTTCACCAGTGTGTGATGACTAATGGGACTTTAACTTTAGTGGGGAAAGTTAGGTGTCACAGCAGCAATGACATTCATTACACGAGCAAAAACGGCGAGTAAAAAAAAAAATAAATTAAATACTTAAAAGATTCAAAAGATAAAAAAATAAAAAATATGCTAAATATACATTTCAAGGAATAAAAAGGTTTTTAAAAATCCAGACGTAAAAAGTAACAAATACCACTGACAGGTTTTGTTTTAAACGGACTCACTCGCCTGCGATGGACTGGCTCTCTGTCCAGGGTGTACCCCGCCTGATTGCCCATTGACTGCTGGAGATAGGCACCAGACCCCCCCACCCCCATGACCCTACATGGACAAAGCGGGTTCAGACAATGGATGGATGGATGGGCTCACTCATGTATCATTTGGTAATTCCACACTCAGTGTTACTGTAAAAATAAGTTTGTCTCCAAATGAAAAGATTCAGCAACACACATCAGTAGATAAAGGAAAATTAGCACTTTTGTTGTCATTTAACCCTCCCACTGTCCTAATGGGTGTGACCCCGCGATGAAAGTTGACCATTGAGCAGGATTGATGGTTTATCCCTTGAGGTCCACGTGGCAGGGGTGAGGTGGTGCTCACTCCTCACCCCTGCCACGTGGACCCAAAAGATAAACCATCAACCCTGCTCAATGGTCAACTTTCCTCGTGGGGTCACACCCATTAGGACAGTGGGAGGGTTAAAAATAAATACATGTATTGAGTTTGGAGACTTCGTCCCAGTTTTTCATTTCGGCCCAGTGCGAATTTGAGGTAGACACCCCTGATCTAAAACATGTAGGAAACAGGTTGGAAGCTGACTGCAGTACCAGGCATGCCAGCTCAGTTTGTCCACAGGTGGTGGCTCGCCAGTCTGAAGTTGCAAGTGCGGTATTCTGGCCACGGGGGGTGGTGGGGGTCTGAGTGACTTTCATTAACCCTGTTAATGGTCATTTTAGCACAACTGGCTCAAAAAAAATATTTGAAAATATGAAAAAGTTGAATAGTATCCCTTAAAAGCCGACTATTTGGTTCTAATTCACGATTAGTATTGTGAGCTTAGTGTTAGACTTTGGCATGCTTCACCTGATATTCATGTAAAACTAAACGATACCGTGGCTTCTTAGGGGTACAAGAAATAACTTCTGGGTCGCCGGCGCTGCAGCGTTAGCTCTGCGGCCCTGCTAGCTCCCAGTTTGTAAACAAAGACAACATTTCTCCCATCTTTTAAGAAAGGAGAACAATTCACAACAACCCCATCTGGCTGAGAAGGAAATCTGTTTCAGTGTAACTTTCCTTCCAACATGATTAAGATACTAAGCTGTTTGGGGATTCTTTTACTTTAAATTTATTATATTGTGCCTTTAAGTATAGTCTAAATGACTCTTAAGTGTTTCATCTCACTTTGATGTCATGAGTTGTCGTGGGTGTTTAACTCAGATTTTCATTTTTCTAATGAAAATTAGCTTAAGCAGAAAGAAATGTCTGTACAATCCATTAAAAAACAATAACAGGCAAGATTGTATTTAACTTATACACATATTTACTCAAAACAATAATTTCACTTCCCTTAGAAAAATAAATAAATACCACGCTAAACATTTCCAAGCC